TTTAAAAAATGTGGGGGGGGGGGGGGGGTATCAAGTGTAGATGTCGTAACTGTTTTGTGAAGATCTAAAGTTCTTTCAGTTCTTTTCAATTCTTTGCAGCTTTCTTTGCCAGATTTGCTGTTTGTTGCAGGGAGAGTATCTACTTTCAGACTATTGGTTTCACAATAATGTGCCGTCGAGTGTCATCTGTGTACATTACATTACAGTCAGTTAGCAGATGCTTTTATCCAAAGCGACTTACAATAAGTGTATTCAACATCGGTATTCAAGAGAACTACTAGTCACCAGAAGTCATAAGTGCATCTCCTTTTTCAAACAAGCATCTAAGAGCATAAACCAGAGCAAACGTACAGTGCAGAAAGAAACGAATACAATAAGTGCAACAAACTAGTATGAATACAAACAAACTAATATGAATACTTCTGTATGAGTATCAAACCTTGAGGGACACAACACCTTACTGTTTAAGATGAGCTGTTATCTAAACGTGTTTGTTAGATAGGATCTATACCACGAGAGTGCTGCATTATGGACTTTGAAAATAGTTCTGATAGAATGATCTGATAGACGGGGCTTGTGAGGAGCTTGAGTTGGATTCAGTGGCTAGAGGTTGACCATGTTTATCTATAGCCATTCCTATCTGCCCTGTTGTGTGTGTGTGTGTGTGTGTGTGTGTGTGTGTGTGTGTGTGTGTGTCTGTGTGTGTGTGTGTGCGTGCGTGCGTATGTGTTTTCAGGTTATCGCCACGTGTACTTGGAAGGTATGGTCGAGGCTTCCATCTTTGTTCACGTAGCTGTGAATGACATCACTGGTAAGGTAGGTACTACAGAGGAAGCTAGTTGAAATCATGTAAAAAATGTGTTATCGCTCCTTTAAAATGACATTAATTATAGTACAGTAAGAATCTGTATTAATAAGAGCCCAGCCCATTTACATTTTTTCGAATATCCAATAATATTTCAGTCAATGAAATGCATAGCAGAACCTTTTTTGATAAATAACTTCCAAGTTGTTTTTTAGTAATCAAATACTTCATAGTTAAAATGGCAGATACTTTCAATATTCTTAACACAACATGTTTCCACGTTTCGTTGGTGGTGTTTCAGTGTAGTAGACTCCATGGTTTGGGACAGGACCAAAGACAACGTGTAAGGCTGCCAGTTAAGGCACAATGAGGTGGCGATCATGGTCTTAAATTTGGATAGATGATGAGGGGATAAATGGTTCCCTGGTTTGGTTTCAGATTTATTTTCCAGATATCTTCCCACATATCTTCTGTAATCCCTCTCGGGTCTGTCCCAGCTCCTGAACACGAACAGCAGAATGTTGTATAAGGCACTGATATATAGTTGTAATAGTTGTAATTTTACTGCAAAAAATCTTTGACGGTTTCAGGTTTTCTAGGAAGAGCAGATAAACCAAAAAAAAAAGGACATTTAGACAGTGAGGCTTCAATATCTAGCCAAGTAGAGGAGGTGGTGGTGTTATGGACGCAGTCAGTTACATATTGCAGAAGGGCATTTCATCGATATCCAATTTAATTTATTCAAATAATGGACAGAAGTTGGCCTTGAACATCTGGTGGAACTCTGGCATAATGAAAATGAAAAAAAACACAAATCCAGTGGGGGGGACCATCAGAGGGAAACCAGGCACCTCAAGCCGATAACCTAAAGGCAGAGCTTTCTATATCCAGAGAAAGCTCTACATTGAGTAAACGTACTAAGGGCGATCAATCAGCCACCAATGCTATTTTAAACAACATTTTGCATCCAATAGTTTGGGTTTGTCCCTTTTGTTTCAATATGACGATGTCCGTGAGAACAAAGCAGCTCCATAGAGAGATAGTTAAGAACTCGACCAGCCCCTCTGGGATGAACTGGAACACTTATTCAGCATACATTTCAGCAGAAACAATTGCTCAGCAAAATAGAAATGCTGCAGCTACAGATGTAATACTCTTGTTATCTCAGTTTCTAAATGTTATTCTTTGGTCTTTCATGATGCAGTCGTCGCTGTCACCACACAAGCACATTGTAAATGGCCGCTCTGTTGTTCACATTGTCCTTACTTTGAACTTCCTCTCTCTCTCAGCTGCTGCTGTGTGCCTCTGGTTGTGATTTCTCTCTTGCCTCCCATTTGTTTCTCTCCCTCATCCTCCCCCTTCTCTGATTCCTGCTCTCTTCCTGTGTCTGCTTGTGATTTCAGTGGACCCCTCTATTTCCAAATGCTCCATTTAGAAGCAGGACATTTTTAGGAGCCCTGAAGCGGCCGCTCAAAACCCAGGTGTAGTGACACCCAGTCGGCATCTTGCATGAGCCACATGCCCCCCCACTCCACTCCCCCCCACAAACACACACACAGCCCCCTCTTGTCAGCTGACAGCAAGCATTAAAAACTATCAGGCCAACTCATGCCTCGCATGAGTTATGAAGACTTGACCCGCCTGCATCTTCACTGGCCCCCCCCAAGTAGATCCAAAGTCATCAACCTAGATGTTGAAAAAGTTGAAACCTAGAAAGAGTTGAACAGAGGAGAGAGAGGTGTGAGCCAGGAGCTGTGCCGGGCTGCAGGGCCTCTTTTTTGCAGAGAGCATTATCTTCCTCTTAACTCTGCGGGGGTATTACATTCCAGTGCTTTGAGGACGTTTATACCTCTTGTCATCTCTACCCTTTCTTTTTAATCATTGTCTGCTATTTCAGTTTTTGTTGTTTTGTTTTTCTAACACTGTGCAGAAACATGTTTTTCTTAGCAGATGACTGACGTGTGTGCTACCCACACTGTAGACTCACACAGCCAGGCATTAGTCAGTCACTTTGTTGTCTTGACTCAAGCAGGTTAGATTGTGGATTTGGATTGTAGCAGCAACCACAAGCTTTCAGTCTGCTTCTTTTCTAATTGTTTACGTGAAATCATTTTGTAATGTTGTGTATCTAATGTTTGCTGTATTTCATAGAATCCCCTGTAGCTGGGGATGTAGTACCAGTTGAATGATGGATAATTGTTCCCCCCTTTTGCATCTCAAGAACCGTGGCTCTACATAAAGAGACCCGTCTGTCAGTTAAACACATAAATCCAGAATCCAACATCTTAACCTTTTGGTAGATTGCTCTAATAATGAGTTGGGACATGTTTTGGGAGTGTTGGAACACCTTACTTCCAGTTTTTGACCTAAAATAAACATGCCTGGACTTGTATCAGTACAAATTGATGAAGTCCATTTCCCATCATGTTGGACTTCTGTTCTGTTTCCCAGTTGAAAGATTTTGCAGTTCAGAGGCAACTCAGGCAGCAGCACAGTATATGGGTCTACTGGTAGCTTAATAATGGTCATGTTCAGTTCAGCCAACATGTCCCTTTTGTTCCACAAATACTTCTTTTCTTTATAAGCTTGTCTTTTTCTCTGTGCTGTTGCTTTCACGTTGATAGTTGTTCAGTCAGCGTTTCACCACAGTGGTCAACAGTTGGACTATGTGGATCTACTTCTTTCACATTGTTTGAAGCTTTCAATAGTAGCAAGGGTTTAGGTAGCATAATATATGAGGCCTGGTCCCGCTAAAGCTCCATTTGGTTTGACATTTCTTTGGGGTGGTCCAGTGACATCTTGCAGGATTGTCTTGTCAACATGAGTTTCACAATCACTAATGTCATTGTCTGGTTGTCCTCATCACTGTCATCATTTGTGGCCCAGTCTTTGTGATGTTTGACCATTACCATGCAGCACCTCGAGGCACAGCAAACATCCATGAAGTGTTATTAGTTATTGACGTCTGTGTTAACTGACTGTTAAACAACAGAAATAAAGGTCAGCCTTGATACTGATCATTTTACAGTCACCTCTTTTTTTTGGTTGTACACAAAAGTAATTCTCAGCTATCTGGATTTTTTTCTTTCATGTTGAAGCCAGTATTTTCAGAAAGTCTATGTGATTATAGCATCTTCGTTATTCAGGTTTTTGTATGCAGAAAAACAAGCCAACCCACATGAAAATAGTTAACTTTGAAAGAATAACTGTAGTATCAGAACCATTGTTCTACCACGAGGGAGCACCAACATGTCTCCACACAGCACTAATTGTAGTCCCTGCCTTTTGTGTGTTTAACTCTGAGGTAGCTTCAAGCATGTGTTTGTTAAACCACTGATGTACTACTGGGACTATAGTTGCTGTATACAGATATATAGGTGCTGAAAATGACAGTGTTACACTTTGAATCCAAGTGGCATTCAAAGAGAGGCCGCATGGACTACAGCTGAATGATCACGTTAAAGACTGAGTGATCATTCACACCTGTTATTACGGGGACTTTCTTGGGTAAATGGGTATTGGTGGAATTTGTTTCTGTGCATGCTCACGGTACAAAACCTGCCTATGTATAATTGCAATAATACAGTGCGGACCAGTGCCACCTGCATTATGGCGACATTTTCTTGTATGACCTCTCTGTGAGTTATTCATTTTGGTTTAAGATTCATTTTGTGTTTGACAGTGATGTTTTGTTGTGTTTTTGTCAGGCCAGAGCAGCCACCGGCATAAAAGGGCTGTTTCACAGAAACCCAAAGCAGGCTTCCCTGGACAGCCATGCTGCTGTGCATCACAGCCGTAAGCACCCATTCGGTGCCCACCTTCTGCGACGCACAGCCAGCGCACCCACCAAAGGCCAGCCCAAAATCAATAAGGGCTTCCCAGAGATCGCCATCGACACCAAAGACTACAGCTCAGAGGGCACCAGTGAAGATCGAGAGTCGGAGGACAGGGACAAGGCCTCTGCTGCCGCCTCTCACCAGCCCACACCACCACAAAACCGCAACAGGGAATCGCTGGCATCCCACCAAGCCAAGGGCCCCTGGGACCGTCCTGACACCAATGGGGCTGTGCACCCTGAGGAGGGTAAAGGTAAGAGCCCTCTTCTTGCTCAACGAAGACCCGTGAGTGAGCCTCTGAAACGAGCCAGTCGGCTCCGCTTACATGACCCGCTGGACATGAAGCCAGGGGTGTTCGCTCGTGTCGCACTTAATAGCTCAGGCCGGGTAGGGATGTCCTCCAACTGCATCACATGTGTGATCGGCTCCAAGGACAGTCCAGAAGCCGAAAGAAAGGGTCAGGTTAAGGAAAGTCAGGGATGCAAGTACAAAAGGGCAGATGGGGAAAGACAGGAGAGAAGTAACCTCCCCTCCTCGCCCAAGAGACCAGTTCAGCCAGAGCCTGTAGCCAAGCCCCAACAGCTTGCTACCCAGACAGAGTCACAGCCGTCATCTGTCCTCCCCAAGTCATGCACAGAGGCCCAGTTTCAGTACTCGCCCAAGGTTCTCCGCCGACCAATCCCCTTCCCTAGAGCCAAAGCCAGGCAAACTCTGGGAGCCCAGCACATCCGACTTCGGCCCGTTGCATCACAGAGTAGCGCCCGATCTTGTAGCGTTCCCCGAAGATGCTCCCCCAACACCGTAACACAGGCATGGAGCCTCACCCCAGACTGCAAGACCAGCCTCCGATGGCAACAGGCACCCCCGCCCAACTACGGCACTGTTTGTGGCCTAACGAGCGCCCTGTTCCCAAACGGTAATGGGAATGAGGGTCTCTTGCTCAGTGACAGCAGCAGCTGTGACAGCTTTGGCAGTCTGAGCAGCTTGGAGTCGCCTCCTCTGCTGCCTCCACGTTCTGTCCTCGACAGCCGCAAGAGGGCTGTAGGCACCCTGCAGCGGGAGATGAACGCCCTGTTTGCCCAGAAAATGGAAGAGTTGCGGCATAAGTCCCCAATGTTCTTCGCTGGTAAGATGTATGTGAGGCAGCATTAGCAGTAAACCCCGTAGCTGCTGCTTAGTGGCTGTAGACGGCCTTTTATGTTCTGTAGACTGTAGATTTGCAGGTAACCTCCATACATGCAGGACCATGAATGTTTGGTAGCATGATGCTGTCAGAATGATCCTGCTGTGTGCCTTTTAGTCATCCCATGTGTCCCTGATAGTTTGAGGACATATCTATACTCCCAGCTATTCTTTTCCATTGTTATTGTTCAATTCTAACTTTTGTAGCTTTTACCTCAACTTCATCACTGGTTCCTATTTCAATCAAGTGATTTCAATGTTTTCCAATTGTTTTTCTCGATGCCTTAACACACTGTGACTGTGGTACTACCCCCATGCTTCACAGACGAGAGAAGTGGTAAGTTTTTAACCTTAAATGAATACAAGTAGTTTCCTGCTCCTTCTTTAACCTAGTTCATTTGAGGCATAAAGTCTGAATCAACATAATTAGAGAAAACTCAAAGCACACCCTCATATGACCGGAATGGACAGTGTTTCGAAGACATGACCTACAACATCTGGTTGGAAGTCACAAGGCACTGACATCTGTACTGCGTCCAGGAGAAAACTCCTCTTCCTCCCTCACATGACATGTTTCAGGGGAGTCTATTTCCTACCAAATGCCAGCTGCACTACCCAAACCCACCCACCTTCAGCCTCTCTCCACTCATCACGTGATGGCCATCAGTGTTCTTACTGTGGGAATCAATCTAGTGGGGGAAACCAAATGTGTTTATGGAGTGGAATTTGAGTTATCTGGCCTTATGACAGTATATGATGAATGCTGACATCTGTTATTCATATAATGCTGGCAGATCCTGTACACGCTCGTAAGTCATGTGATGAATAATCTTAGCAGCTTTACCTCCTGTTTCTTTTCACGATAAAACAAATGCTGTTTTTCCTCATGTAGACTTGGAGGATGGATTTGTGATAGCATCTCTTGTTGAGATGCTTTCTCTGTGCTGTAAGCTGTTTCCTTGCCTCCACTCACCCTCTTCTTTCCAGTTTTGCTAAACTCCTTTTTTCCTCTCTTTCCCTTTTGCACGCTCTCTGTTACTAGTGCAGAATTGAGGGGATGACCAGAGCCAGGTAAAGCCTCTGAATGCATGCAACCTTTTAAATACAGCCTGTGCATCCTTCACTTCACCCGCCAGTCTCTCTGTCTCACCAGACCACGTGTCACACCTGTGGTGTTTTGAAATCCACATTCTTCTCTTTCTTTTCCAAATATTCTTGTAATTGCACTAACTCAACATGACGTGAGTGGGAGTAGTGAGAGCACCATGCCGGTTTGTCTGGTCACATCATCAAATAGGGGAACAGAATCCATCACTTGAGGGTAAATCTGGTTTATTACAACTTGAGTCGTATTTTAATGCTGACACTATTGTACTCTCCCTGTTAATTGTTGAGTTCTTTTCATTAAAAAGAAGGCTGAGAGGTCAATAAACGCATGTTTTACAGGTTTTGCACTGACTTTTTGTAGAGTAAACCGAGGTGAATTTTAAATTCTCCAGATAGTCAGCTGTAAACATCCATCACAGTTAACAGACCTGCCTCCTGATGGTCAGCATGGTTTCATTAATATCTAAATCCCTTCTACAAGAGAGACCTGAGACCGAATTGCACACATTACAAGACAATGCAGTCACACAAAGAGATGTAAGTTGTAATAAAGTGGAATTATCATTAAATGTTTGAGCTAAAAATATGTGGACCTAAAGAACAGCACGTCGACTAAAGTTAGGTCCTCGTACCACCTTTTTAAAAGGACAACTGACTTCAGTTGTTGAGGTAAAACATCAGGTAATGGACTCTGTTTTAAGACTGTTACGCCAAATTTTGGGAAGTGGAACCATCCAAACGATCCCAAATTCTGTTAAAAACAGATTTATAATATTGAAATGATAGCATGAGGCTGTCCCACCTCATTAGAGATAAACCTGTTAAATGTAGCCCTTTGCAGTATTTTAACTCCTAAAGATTTGCCGTTCTCTAGCATTCGGTTTTGTTTAACATAACGTCAGTGCCATGTGTCAAACCCTGACCCTGTCAACACCTCCAGTTTTATAGTAGCAGGCCCTCCACTGCCTTCACATCGATATTTATTGTAAGTAGCAGTAGCCTTACACATCAAATTTAGCTCACCACAGAACAACGAACTGTGTTACGCCTAATGTGAATCGGTCACTTCGAGCAGATATTCCCTTAATGAGGTCAGTGTCTAAGCTGAAACGGAATCAACGGATTTGATCAGCGCGTCCCTATTTTCCAAGCACATACAGTTGTCGATTGTTACAACCATAAGGCTTTTAGGGAACACAAATGACATTGGCAGTGAGACATTTTCTTTGTTGTCTGTATTTCCGCAGATTGTTCCACAGTGCAGAGGCCAGCTCCTCTTCCACTGAACTCTGACGCCGCCAGAAACCCTTGTGTCATCCGTTCTGTCTCCACTCCAGAAGGCAGCCTGTCTTCACATCACTCCTCATCATCACCACTGCACTCTCCATGCACAGCAATAACTGCAGAGTGCCCATTGGCCATTCCTTCAAATGGGGCTGTGCACAGTCCAATCAAGGTGAGCGGAGGCCCTAAGAAACCTCCTGCCCTTTCCAGAACCGCGTCTCCCCATCCGACGAACCCAGCTGACAAAACTGCACCAGCACAGTGCGGTCAAGACCTCCAGGCCAACCGAGGCATTGAGTCATTCATGGAGCACACGCCAAACCAGAGGGGAAACCAAGAAACTCTGACAGAAAAGAAAACTGATACAGCAGAGGTAAGGTCTGACCACAGACTGGAGACTCCTTCTGCAGCCCCTGGTGCTCCGACAGCCCAGGGCAGGAGAGCCCTGTTTAACGATCAACCATCACACGTACCAGTAAGGAGAACAAAAAGCAAGGGCCATGTTCTGTTGGCTGTAGCCTCAGCTGGGCATGACCAGTCAGCCGTGCCAGAGGTCTGCACGGACGCTACTATGAACGACCGTCTGTGGAGCAAGCTGGAGCCAGGCAACCACAGAGATAGCATGTCATCCTCCTCCAGCATCTCTTCCAGCGACACCGTCATTGACCTTTCCCTGCCAAACCTGGCCAGGAAGAGCCTCACCACCCTGCCCACATCCAGCAGCACCTGCGATCCTCACTGGGTCACGTGCCGTCGCTCAGCCCTGGTCTCCTACGATGCCATCCAGGTCAGCAAGAGCAAGTCAAACCCCAATCTTCAGCAAGGCGACTGCCCCAAGGATGAGCTTAAGCCCCGCCCCCTGCAGCCTCCCCAGGAAGCTTCCGTGGACTCACCCGGCAGACTGACTCAAAGGAGGCACACCTGGAGTCGGCTCTACATGGAGGGGCTCAAGCAATCGTCAGCCAGCAGGCCGTCCTCCGCGCCCACATCCTCGACAGCTACTGCCTCCATGTCCAAAAGCCTCGGGGACCTGACCTCCGATGACATTTCCTGTAACTTTGACAGTAAGTACCACAGCATCAGCCGCAGCTTCATTGTTAGGCCAGCCAGGGACCAGCTCCGCAAGGGCGGCTTCCAGAAGTCTCGGCCGCCCAGCGACCTCACAGAGCAGCTACGGAAGCTGACTGATGTGGAGCCGCTGACCGCCAGCGACTTCGCCCCGGAAAACAGGCCTGGAGAGTCTCAGGAGGAGTTTGTGGATGAGAACCTGGTACGAAAGACCTCCTCGAGGAGCCAAAGCAGGGTGCGCTACATTGCAAACAGGGCCAAGAAGGCCCAGGAGAGGCAGAGGCTCCAGGGCCTGGTCCAGGGCAGAAGTGCAAGCTTCAGCCTCACTGGTAGCATTGGCAGTGGAAGTGGTGCTAGCCCCATTGAGGAGCGGGGGAACCCCGAAGGCGCGTGTTGCGTGGCCCAGAGTCCCTGCTCCGGCCTGGACCTGCTGAGTCAGCTCACCCCCCTTGGAACCCCCTCCCTTAGACAGTCTCAGTCCCCCCCAGACCCAGAAAACAGTGACGTCTTTTTCATGCTCAAACTCTAAAGAACTGGCTGACTTGGAACTGAGTGTGAGAGACACAGCTAGAAACTTGTTTGGAATACGCTCCAGTTTTTTCTCAACTACAAATCTTTTTTCTTTTTTTTTTCAAAAAAGTTGCATATCTTGCAGAATTTCTCACAGATTATTTCCACATCTCACAAAAAAACTGAGCTCCACTGAATTAATGATCCATGAACATTCACTTCTACTGCTTGAGGTTGTGCAAGAATCCATTTTTGAACCAGCAGAAAACATTGTCCACTGAAAGCAACTACTGCAGCTCTGCAGCTTTTGCACCAAATGTTAGAGAATTGACAATGTATTTAGTGAAAGATAACAGTTTTTTATATAGCTGTGTATGTTGACTGCAGACAACTCATCTTTTTTTTTTTTTTTTTTTTACATGAGCATACAGTAGCAAGGGGTCTACTTGAACTGTAATGGTTTTAACTGAGCTGAAAATGAGATGCTTCATGTGAAGGCGTTATTGTCAGCCCATCTATCCACGAGCAATGTTTAGAAAATACTGGCATGGTATCATATTGACGTTTGTTTGACAGTTTGATGCTAGAAGCTGAGGCTTGTCTCATGTCTTTGTTGAAAAAAAAGGAATTATTATCTCAATGCAGGATAAAATTTCTTAATTTTTAGTATTCTTTGTATAGTGGTTACATAGTCATTTGACCAAACTGCCAATATTTTGCTAACCTATCCAGTTTATGGCATGTCACAGCACTGAGATCATGTACTTCACAGCAGTGGTAGACTACTCCATACCAAGTTTAGCCCTTTTTAGTTATCTGCATGTCTTTAATGCACTGTAATGTTTATCCTAAGGCTCTGCTTTTATTTCATTTTACAAAGACCTTTTTTATAAGAAGATTTGTTAATATCCCTAACTTCTTTTTTCGGATCGTCCGACGGCGGCTCTGTGCTCCCATTGGTCCGAGGTACTAATACAAGATGAGAATGATCTGTATCCAAGCACGTTTATCTGTCGACCTGCTGTATCGTTTGCACTGCCGTGCCAGTTGTTTGTGCAAAATTTTAGGGACAATGTGTAATTATGACCTGAATAAATCTCAAATGAATATTACTAAAAGCCTCTCGGCTCATTTTGTTTCATTTACACTTCGTCTACCGACAGCTGTCTCAGTTCAGAGATGAAGACGAGTCACTAGCAGACCAGTGGAGCTGAGCCTCATGCGAGCTGACACTTACAAGCCTCTGGCCTTGGTTTTGGCAGCGTCTGCTTGATGCTCTAATTTGGACCCCGCTTGGGTCTGTGTTTACCAGCCATCACCTCTCTCAACCTCTCCGGCAAAAAAGCAGCCCCCCTGCAGGGAGGGAGAAGGTTCCAGAACAAAGACTCCAGGCTGCACAAGAGACAAGCTCAACCGCTCTTTAATGGAGAAAACATCTTTTCAGTGTCACTTGCCACCCAAGATCAGATTTTTGACTACCAACCTATTTACATAAACTTTCTTACACCCTAGAATGTGGTATGTGGAATAAAACCGTCATACTGTAAATACTCTAAGAAGTCAGTTTCCTTTGGAAACATTGAAACCCTTTTGAAAAAGCATGCACGCTGTGGGACACAAACCATCCAGTGAAACCTAATATAATGATCACATTAGTAATGGATTCATGCATACCTTTGTGAGGAAGCTAATTAAAACGTGTTGGTATCAGCTTCCTCTGACAACCGCCTGTACTGCTTAAAGCACTTGCTACCCTCTTAGGACGGTCTTTCTCAGGACTCTGATTTGCCAGTGAAAGGTTTGTCCATTTTCTAGTCTGCAATTAAAAAAATAAAAAAAGAAGAAAGCTGATTGCCACCTATGGCGAGCTGTCAGACACTGCCAGGCCTCTTCCTCAGCTCTGTAAGTCTTTGTGAAGCGCGACACGCTCATTTGAGCGCCGCAGACTCTGCTCCAGCCAGCACACAAACACAAAAGACGGCTTCATTAGGATTCCGAGAAAACCACCGAGTCCCTCTTAAAGCCATATTTATCTAGACAATTTGGCACGGCTTGGCCTCTCAACTGAAAACTTCCAAACCCTGCGGCACAACAGGCCTGAGAGAAAGTCTTTTGTCTCAGAGAGTGAATGCAGCCCCTCCTCTCAAGATGAAGTCACTGCTTGTTTTTGCAAATAAATCAATTTAGTTTGTGAGCTTCTGCTAAAAACAGTATTCATTTCTTTCTAAGACAAAGACACAGGGCATGTTATGTGGCTATAACTTTGATGTGTGTTATGGTATACTGTGTTTTATGAGTTGGAGTCCTAACCATAGACTGTATATAAGAAGAGGACGTAGTCGTCATGACGTCTCCTGTTAGTTTGTGACCTGCCGTTATGAAGCCCAAATTTTAGCCAATTTCGCCATCCCCATATAAACTTGTTTAACTGATGAACAGAAGTTACCATATTTGGAAAGCAGAAGAGTGATGTATAGACGCCGTATACTGCTCTGGTAGCGGCAGCGACCTGTCAATCACAGTAAGCCCCGCCTTAAAGCATCCCCTGCTTTATGGTCTGTTTGACTCTAAATGGACCATAATGTACTAAATGAACATCATGCTGTATTGAAGAAGACTTGAAACTAGAGATTGAGACCATAAACTCATGTTTACAATGTTTACTGAGGTAATAAATCAAGAGAGAAGTAGAGTCATTTTCTCAGACTTCTATACAACCAGAGGAGTCGCCCCCTGGTGGACAGTAGAGAGAATGCAGGTTTTAAGTCACTTCTGCATCGGCTTCACTCGGCAGAACCTGAGGTTGCCGTCTGGTTCTAACGTACCAATGACGGAGACAGCCATGGCATTATGTTTTCAAGTTGTCCGTCCGATCTGTTCTCGTGATCTGTATCTCAGGAACTTTATTTAATTTTGGCACAAATGTCCACCTGAACTTAAACATGAACTGATAAGAGTTTGGAGATCAAAGGTCACTGTAACAGGATTTTGGCCACAACTCAAGAATCCATATAGTAATTATGACAATGTCAGAAAAATATTTTAAATAGTAAAATGATGACATTTTGGACAGACAAGGATGTAGACGACAACAACAACAAGCTGTATTATTCTCTGTTACATTATCAGATGTTCTCACCGTTACTGATGGAGTCGTCCCCCTGGGTTTGTCAGGACGGACAGGGAATGTGCTCCAAAACTAAATGTCTTCCTGTGAGCCCCCGGGACCTCCTGTCCATCCATCAGTAAGCTCATCATCAAATGTAGTTACACTTCACTCTAAGAGGAGGCTCAAAACGGACCCACACAACATCTAGAGTAATGAATGTCTCTGTCTCAGCTGTAATGAAGGGATCTACATCATACAAGCCTGAACATGTAGGTGTAGAACAAAGATACTGTGCTCCAGTAATCTCAAATCTCAAAGATTTTGTTCTGCATAAACCTCTGGCCAACAATCACGAGTTTGTTCTCCCTTTGCGGTTCTATCTCCTCCCTCCTTGTGCTCCCCTATATAAACCCACACTACAGTCCTCTGCACACACCACCTCCCCACTGCCCTCCTGCAACACTTGTGAAGTTCTTACACATTTTCCTGGAGTTGTCCCTCACACAAAGGTTTTTAATCGCAGCTGACATAACTGAGGTAAGGGAACTTTTATTTTGATAGCATAGTGTGACAATCTGTGTCAGCGTTTTATTATACATATATATATATATATATAATGAAGCTGAGGTTATTGTGCACGTTAGATGCTCGGGGTTAGAAAATATCTGAAATTGAGATAATCATGTTTGAAGGATCCGTGTCGTTTTCAGAGTTGTGGAAACATGACGGGCTGCGTGCCGTTGGTATTCTGTGTAGCAGCCCTGACTGCATGGAGAGTCACTGCAGGTAAGACTGATACACACAAGTGTGTTGGTTCATAGATCATTGCATCACATTTCTATATAAATATATATATGGACAGAAAATTGCAGCATGTATTTGTTTACATTTTTCTAAACTGCTACCATTCTACTTCTGTCCAAAATGTAACTTTTTTCCAACCTGCTCAAAACCTTTGAGTATGCAATAGTGTCATCAAGGTGTCAAAGTGGAGAGGGTGTGGAGGTCTGGGTGGTGGATGGGGCCTGTAGCGCATCAGATTTTGATGTGGGAGACCAGAGTTTGAGTCCTTTCAAAGAACTGCACTTACTTCTTGCATGTCTCAAAAGATCTTTGACCAAATGTTCCAGTCGCCAAACCGTAACAATAGTTTATTACCCATAACCATCAGGTAGTTACCATGTGTAGATAGTGTAGCAGGGAAGAGTTCTCTGAACATTGGCATTAACCATTAGTTATGTATATTATCAATGACATTACAGAGGGTTTTACAAAATCGTTCAATATCAACATTGTCTGATAGGATTTTGTTGTGTTGCTGAACAAAGTATATTTCTGAAAGGAAGAAAGCTTTTCTGCACCTTTTTTAAAAATATATAAAAAAGGATTGTTTCCAAAAATTCTTTGATTTATATTTAGGCTTCTTTTGGGTCCCACCAGAGCCTCAGTGAACTGTCTGCAAAGTCAAAGCCCAGCGGGCTCTGGCTGACCCATGAGACCGGGTCCCGCTCCCAAATGAGTCTTCATATTTGGCTCCCTGCCCTGCTGGACTGCTGGGAGTCCTATCAAAGCACGGAGGATCACTGTGGCATCCCCGTTTCTCACCAGTGGAGGGGCTACCGCCTTGCTGAGGCCCAGAAAGCACTGTGATGAATCAATTAACTGTGTTGAGGGGGGGGTGATATACTGACAGGCATCTCCGCAGATCGTAGCTCCTGCCGTCTTCTCTGGAGGAGGCTGATGGGGTGTCATGGGCTTTATACGACCCAGCCGGGCCTGCTTTTGTTATTGCATGTATTTATGAGGAACTTGCACCCCTGGCACCTCCGCTAACCCCCCCCTCCCCCCCCCGCCACCTCCTTTCTGTGACCAAGCCCGGCTGGGCATGTTAGGGCCCGCTGGACACGCTGTGAATGGCATTGGTCACAGTTACAGCAGAAAGAAAACAGCTCTGGGTGTCATGGGTAATGTCAGGGGATGGGGTGGGGGGTTGAAATCCTGCTTGGATTACAGAGGGGGGGGGGGGGTAGACTGGGCCATTAGAAGCTCAGCCACCCCCTTTGTAGTACCTTGCAATAGTCTCCTCAGTAATTCTCTCTGGGCATTCTGAAAAACAACCAACAACAAGACGCTCATTGTCCTCTGGTTGGCTGTTTGGCTGATTTACTGCGGTGGCTGAGAGAGAGAAACACATGAAGGGGACTCAGAGCAACAATGGGCTTCATTAGGCTTTCAGGGGCCGTTCTGCACGTAAGCTTGTAGACATGAAACCCAACTGGCTGAGACCAAATCCTCTCATCTCTGTGCTGCCATACATGCTCCATTACATCTGACTTGCCTCATGAATCAAGACATTTATTGTGGTGCTTGTTTTCTCCCCTCCCTTTCTAGATGCCAAGGAGTTATCCATCACCACTATAAAGGTATTCTCTCTTTGAGCCTCTCTCGACACCAGAACAACAAGGTGGCAGTGGCCTTGTGCCGCCGGGACACATTAACTCAACCAACACTTTAAATAGTTCTGGTTCATCGCAAGAAGCTTCTTATTTCTGTAGTTTGGCTGATTTCTAGTAGTGATTATAAAATACCTCACAAAAGTGGCTGACTATCCAAAGGACAGTCAGACAATGCCATTTTGAAATCCTTCCAGAGATTATGGTCTGGATCTTGACACCAGAAAAATTTAACTTGCAAAATTCTGTAAGCAAGGTGATTTGCATTGGGAATGAGTAGAAATATATTTTACTGATTTTATCATTTGTTTCAAGAAAATGATAATATTTTGTGGTACATGGGGCGTAAAAATGACCATGTGACATTATTATACAATACAGGATTTCCCTTAATTTTGAATACATTCTGGTGACTGCGCTCATAAGAATGATTTCATTTGAAATATGACAATGTCAAGGAGTATAGTAATGGAGCATGAACCATGTTAGGTACATTGTTATTGTTTACAAATCTTTTATAATTCCATGTCCTGAAAGCTAGAAGATGACTTGTTGTTAGCCATGCTAGGCCTAGCATTGGAACAATGGGCTAAAACAAGGAGATTGTCAGCTGTGTCTCATGTTGCCCAACTCATGAGTAACAAAGTTGACCCGACTGATCACTGCGAAGATATCCGTTCCCATAAATATATCTTAAAGCTGTTCATGAAGGAATAAACCACTGATTGTTTTCATTTAGAAAGCACTGCACTTTTGTACTTTCATAATTACGTGAAATGGACGCCCAGTTACAGAATGACTCCACAGACAAAACTCACTTGAGCAGAAGAAGATTTCCGCAGTGAAATTAATAACTGAATTATCCTTTAAATGCTGCTACACCTGGCTGCACACTGCACATCCTGTGAACATTACACTGTGATTGTTAAACACTCTTTCATCAAAGCACTGCATGAATAAAAAAAAAAATCACCAACAAATTTTCACCCAAAAGCAGCAATTTGATCTCACAATTGATTTCCTCGAAAAAAAAAAAAGAATCCTCATCATCTTCAAAGCCCGGCATTACCTTCACCCGTTTGTTCTGTTCTCCTCAGGAAGAGCCGTACACCATGAGCCGCGGCTCTGAGCTGGAGGGCTACTGCATCGATCTGATCTCTGAGCTCTCCAGGGAGCTGGGCTTCCAGTACAAACTGAACCTGGTGAAGGATAACCGCTACGGAGCCGTGGACTCCAGCGGCACCTGGACCGGCATGATAGGTGAAATCATCAGAGGGGTAAGAGTGCAACCGTCCTGGCTCTCCTTACAATGTGATGCAGGACAAGTATGTTAGAGTATGTACAGTGACATACTGTCTGTAATTCGATTTTTAAACAGAGAGCTTATGTACACGTTGTCATGTAAATCAAAGTGTATGGATATGTATTCATAAATAGCTCTATTTGTAAAAGGATCTCTTGGTCTGCTTATGGGACCATGTGGGAGAAACGTTGTGTAGTTTTGATAGACAAAGGTGCACTCAGTAAAGCCTGATATGAAAACCTGTGAATGGAGACCAGAAGTTTATTTATATAATAAAATATTATATCAACAAACAAAACTTCATGAAATAGATATCCACGTTAATGTATGGGGTGCAATTTATAAACAAACCAATTCATTAAAATAATACATATTTAAAACCTAGGTCAATAATGTGAGCCATTTCAAAAAATAGGAATAATATAACATTTCATAATAATGAGTTTAAGTTTAATAATTTATATTGTGTTTATTATATATTACACTTTATTTTGTATTTTTCAATTAAATAGGTCTTTTTTTTGTCTGTTTTTTAGCAGTAATGTGTTCCAGAGTTCCTCTGATACAGTTTCATCAGATACTTTGTTTTACTTTTGGTCTCATGACAAACATTAGTCAAACATACAGTGTCTGACTTGAGTGATATGGACCTATTGTACGAGTGAATGAGTCTGTAGTCTGATACGTCTCTCTGTCCCTGCATCAGGAGGCCGACCTGGCGGTGGCTCCGCTGACCCTCACTGCAGTCAGAGAGATGTTTGTGGACATGAGCACCCCCTTCATGCAGACGGGAATCAGCTTCATCATGCGCAGAGACTCGGCCTCCGAAGAGAGCGGCTTCAGTCTGCTGTCGCCATTCTCCACCGACATGTGGGTCGGCATCCTCATCGCCTTCCTGCTGACAGGTCTCTGCATATTCCTGGTGGGCAGGTAAGCGCCCGCCAAAGAAGGGGTTGTTACATGCATTGTTTCTCTCCAGTGTACGGTAGAGACAGGGTTGTGTACCGGGGCATGTCCTCACTTTATATTCTACAGTTACAGACTAATTACACAAGATATGTTTAGGGGGGATTTTGACATTTGTCATTATCTTCAAATATGAAAACCGTATGAAGTAAAATGACAAAAAAACGTTTTTGGTGTCTAGTCAAATACAGCACACCAGTAATGTGTGGCCACCGGATGAATGTAAGTCAGTTTAAAGGGACAGTTCACCCCAAAATCAAAAACACATGTTTCCTCTTCCCTGTAGTGGTGCTTATGAGTCGAGATAGTTCTGGTGTGAGTTCCTAGTGTTGGAGATATCGGCCGTAGAGATGTCTGCCTTGCTCCCATGAAGGAGGAGTGGGGATCCATGTTTCCACATCCTGATGTATATTACAAAATGATAACTTCAAAAAACACATGGACTGCATTGACATAAGGCCTTTCTAGTGTTTTGTAATAAACATTAACACACTCTTCGGCATGTAGATGGCAGGGGCCATCATCGAACTACCACTGATGACTACTTTACCTCCTGACGCACAGCCTTTAAACTTCCTCCCAGAAACTCCACAGACACCAGAGTTATATATCAGACACATGCGTCTTGTTGCTGCATGTGCTGCTTTAACCTTGCTGGTTCTGAGGCCTGTGTGTGTGTTTTGTTTCCTGCAGGATCAGTCCCACTGAATGGGCTGAGCCTGACACAGAGGAGCACAGCTTCACATTGCTGCACAGCTTCTGGTACATCACAGGAGCTCTCACCCTGCAAGGTAACGCAGCGGTCTGCTAAACTCAACCACAGAGATTCACACACACTGCTGGCCGTCTCTCTCTTTACTCTCTCTTTACTCTCTCTCAGAGAATCAGCTGCAATGCTAACCTTATTATTATGGCCTTGGACAAGTATTTCACAACTTCGATGTGCAAAAACTCTCAAAAGCAAAGAGATGTTTTGAATAAAAACTCAAAGTTAGTGGAGCCGAAACAATCAGCATCTTATATTTTAGATTCACATGCTGTAGTGTAACATTATCCTCTAGAGTGCATTATCTATATTCACAGTCCCACCGTTTATTCAATACAACTGAATTGTTACTCTACATCATTTCAAATAACTGTATTTATTTATTTTTGCTTTGTATCATCTTAAAGGAAAATACTTTCTTTTATCACAGATGAGAATTTCATTCTAAGTTCAAGAATAAATCAGATTCAGTGATGAACATATTCAACGTGGTGATGTTTTGGTAATCGTCCTGCACTATGCGCTACTTCCTTTTACATCGTCAGCGGGCCGGAAAAGAGGACATTTCGTGTGAAGGGTTTAGCAAAGTGAATTGTGAGACAGAGGAATCATGACATAATGTAATCCTCTACGATAATTGCTTTAAACCGAGCATGAGTTGACATCGTGAGTATGAAGCTTTTAAAGGAGCGGGTTAAGTCCTGTCACATGACTGCTGGTCTGTGTCCCCTCAGGTGCTGGTCCTCACCCCAAAGCTCTGTCTGGACGTCTAGTCAGCGCCATCTGGTGGATGTTTGCTGTACTGCTTCTGGCCTGCTACTTTGGCAACTTCAACTCCATGTTGCACTCCAACAACAAACACGTCTCCATCAAGACTTTCGAGGACCTCGCGAACCAGGACGTGATGGACTATGGCACCGTCGAGGCTGGATCCACCATGTCTTTTTTTAAGGCACATTCATAATGAGTGAATAGTCATTACAGCAGATTCTGTAAGGTCTGAGTTTGATATAATGTAACAGGTTTTATTTTTGCAATGTTTTGTTCCCCAGAATTCCAAGAACCCCGTATACCGGCGCATCTACCAGCACATGGAGCGCAAGAAGAGCTACGTGTCCAGCATGGAGGAGGGCGTTCGCCTAGCTGAGGAAGGAAACTTTGCCTTCATCGGTGAGGCCGTGTCCTTGGACTTGGCGGTGGCTCGCCACTGTCAGCTGAGCCGCTCAGAGGAGGCCATCGCTATGAGAGCCTACAGCATCGCGGCACCTCTGGGTGAGTGATACGGCCTCAAAAACAGGATTTAAATCTCTCTAATTTTTGATGAGAGCGCAAATTTTCTTTTTGATTATGCCTGTATTTATCAGTGACTTTTTGGAATTCATGAATCAAACTGAAACTCTACTCCCCAGAGTAAATTACGCCCCTATCGAGCTTCTACTATTCCTATGATATTCATTCCAGGACTTCGATCATATCAAAGGGTTTAGTGCCATCTTCCATCACTGTCAGTACACCACAGAGGAAGAGACAGGAGGAGGGGGTGGACATGAAGAGACTGTGATGGAGAGTGGACATTCAGAACATTAACACTTTTGCCTTCAGACGTTGTGAGACAACACGTTTAATAAACTAGGTAATTTTGATGCGTACTTCAAGGACCAAATATAATATTCATAACAATGTTTTCACAAGTCTTTAATCACCTGAAACTAAGAATCGTTGTGTTTACACGCGTCTGGTGTTCTTTGCTCCTTAAGCAGTGATTCCCAATGTGGGGCCCAGGGACCTCCAGGCATCTGTGACACTTGCAATAAATGATTTTCTATAAGATATCTACAGATGACTACCATTTGTGCAAATAACACAAGCACATTGTGTGCAATACTCCCACCCACATAAGCTTTGGGCCAATTGAAACTCACATTACATGATTGTGACACACAGCAGTAAGTTCATTATCTTGAAGTTGAAGCACTGAGTGAAAGTCAGCTTTAAACTGGTCATTTTAACTCTTTAGATTTATTAGGGCTATGCCAGTCTTGTACTGTTCATTTTCTGAAAGCTTGTAAGATCAACTACTTGAGAGTAAAACTCACTTTAAAAGTATATAAATGGTACATGATTCAAATTAAAATGGGTTTCTGTTCATCACTATGAAACAGGTCTGAAGTATTTCTGTTGAAAAGTTGGTCCCTGCTCCCCTATCGTAAAGTAGTGTTATTATGGTAAGGATGGTGTCTGAGAGACGCGAATGGCGGTACCATCATTTTGCTCTTGGCGGCTCTCATTACTGCACTTTTGTTCTTGCAGCTGAATGAGAGCAAAACCCTGCAGCCATGTTCCAACATCTGATGGAAAGTCTGAAACCAAAACCATGGAGGACGTTACAGAAGCATGTTAGTTTTGGTTTCGGAGTAAGACATTAATCAGCCTCTACTTTGATCCACCAGGCTCCCCGCTGGTCAAAAACCTGACCCTGGCCATCCTCAAGCTCAGTGAGTCCGGTGAGCTAACATATCTGCGGCAGAAGTGGTGGGCCAGTAGCTGCGCAGCTGCCGGCAATGCCCACACCTCCGAGGCCCTGCGGCCTCACGATCTGCACGGCCTCTTCCTCCTCCTGGGCCTGGGACTTGGCGTCGGGCTCCTGCTGGCCCTGCTGGAGCTTGTATCCAGGGCCCGCAACCAAGCTAAGGATGGCAAGGTGGGGACGAGTTTCACACAGTGTTACTTTGGTGACCCCCTCTAGCACCACCAATAGCCTGACGTTTCTGGCTTTTACTGAAATATCCCAACACCTATTGGATGGATTTTGGTACAAATACCCATGGTCCATAGAGGATGAGTGCTTTGTTCGTGGTCCCCTGACTTTTCCTATAGCGCCACCATGAAGTCAAATGTTGTATTCGTCCAATACTTTGGTTTATGACCAGATACCTGCAAAACTAAAGACATTCCACCTCTGCACTTTTTGTTTAGCGCTTAGCACATGTTAGGAGGATATAGTAAGCAAGTTAGTATTATCAATGTAACATGTTAGCATGCTAACACAGTAAGCAACAGCGATATAACTTAGTAAACATTATACCTGCTAAAGGTCAGCATGTTAGCATTGTCATTGTTGCATGTTAGCATGCTAACGCAGTAAACTACGATGGAGGACATACTAAACATCATATCTGCTAGAGGTCCGCATGTTAGCATTGTCATTGTGACATGTTAGCATGCTGATGTCAGTATTGAGCTCAAAGCACCGCTGTGTCCAAATACAGCCTCACAGAGCTGCTAGCATGGCTAAATGAATGTTCTTTACCATTTCCTCTTTTCTTTCACAGAAATCGTGCTGCTCGGTGTTCACATCAGAGCTAAACCGGCGATTTGGCAGCAAGGGGAAGAGTGAAGAGCAAGAGGACTCAGACAAAGGCAAAGCCTGAAGGAAAAGTTTACATGTTAGCTTTTGATACAGTAGATAGTGTCAGATGTGTCCTGTTCCATCAAACACACTAACTTTCTCTGTTGCCATTGTAACAGCTATGTGCTGTGTGGTCCTGTCAGTGTGTTTTGTACTCTCCTCCAGAAAAGCTTGTTGACCACATGGGACCACTTAACTAGCAGCTACTGTACAGTGTATTAGAACAAACCAAGAGACTTAGAGCTTCAAAGTGCAAATACTAATCACTGATTTGTTCATAGTGTCGTTGCATGTTATCAGATATCCACATCCCATTGCCCTACTTACTTCTTCTTGTTGAACTATAATGGTTTCATAACAAGCTTATATTTGCTTGTATGTTCTAAATAAATCACACAATACACAGAATTCTCTCTTTTTTCAAAGTATACAATACAACTATACTGTTCATGTTGGAAATTTAAGTACATCTTAGCAGAGCGAAACATTATCAAGACATGCGGCATCAGAGACAACAATATGCAAAACAACAAACCAGAGAATCCCTTAGATTACATGTTAAAAGCTACCCTTTTCAATATGCTTTTTGTATAAATAATGGATCTGTGTCAGGACCGTGAAAGGTGCCACTCAACCCCACAGAGAAAGAGCTACAGACCTGTGTCTTTTAATGTTGCAAACATATCTGTATTCCTATGATGGAAGTCTCTTGTACTGGAAGCTGTTGTGTAAAACGCATGTTGTACACAGGAAGTGCAAGCAATTGTGAATCAATTTCACCTGCTTTGGTGCAGATGAAAGCATAAAGGGAATGGTTTTGCAGGCGGTGACCTGCAAACCATTTCTTATTTTCTAGTTTTGCGTTTTGCAACACATTCATATGAGCCGTCACAAGAAAGGTTTGGTGTGTCCCCAAGCACAGTCCCAAGAGCGGGGAGGAGATACCAGGAGATAGGCCCTTACATGATGAGAGCTGGACAGAGCCGTACAAGGACAACAACCCAGCAGCAGGACTGGTACTGTATCTGCTCCTTGGTGTGAGGAGGAAGAAGAGGAGCGCTGCCAGAGCCCTACAACGTGACTGAGGGCCCGAGGTCCTCTATTGCGACCTGAACCTTGCAGCTGGATTGGCATTAAGAGAACATCAGAATGGACAGGTACGCCCTGTTCTCTTCACAGGTGAGAGCAGGTTCACAATTAGCACATGTGACGGACGTGGTATGCTATGCTGCATGCAACATCATCCAGCGTGAGTTGTGTTTGGCGGTGGCTCAGTGATGGTCTGGGGAGGCTTAAGTTGGATCAGCCGTGATTTCGATGTTTCACTTTGATTTTCGGTGTGATTGTGAATCCAGCCCTCAATGGGTTAATGGTTTTGCTGTCCGTTGACCGTTTTTTACATCATTTTGCTCTCGACGAATTACACAATGAAGATCAATACACCAATGAAGATTTCCAACTTGAATATTTCGTTCTTCGAAATCAGATATGTGACTTAAGGATTCCCTTCATGTGTTTGAGCAGTTAGTCAAGTTAGCGTCAACCACCAGTGGCGGCTGGTGGAACATGTTCTAGGGCTGTGCCACATCCAATCAATGTCAGCAAACATCCCATTATCTTTTAATGCAAAAAAATGAAGGTATCAAAAATGCATTACTACATTGCAGTTCAATATTTAACATTTATTCCTACACGAAAAAAAAAGCAGTAAATAAAACTTTGATAAACACGTCAGGACATCTTATTTTTGTCACCCTCACAGGCAATTCAGTATAATATAATATTATATATATATATATATATATCATATAATAATATTCAGTATAATAAATAACACACACACACATATATATATATATATACACACACACACACTATATATATATATATATATATATATATATATATATATATATATATA